CCCTGTCTCCGTGCCAGTTTGCTGCCATAGCGACCGTTCTTGTTTATATAACTTAGACCTGAAATCATTCACTCATTCGCTTTACATTTAATATTTAAAGTTTCAAATTATACGAGAACTCGAATCAAGCTCCTTCACAAGCAAGATCTCCACCCAGCTGGAATATTCAGGTCATCAAAGAACAAAGGTTTACTAGTAAGCAGTAGTAAGCCAGGCTGGTGTCTCTCGAATCATCAAGAAACTAAAAATTACTGGCTCCATTGTGAATCTACCACACTTGGGAAGACCAACAAAGTTGTCTGTGGATGCAAAAGCATTTATAGATTTACAGATGCGAAAAAATGAGACTGTAAACCAACAGATTCAGAAGATGCTAGCAAATTGTGGGATTGCCATGAGTTCGTCCACTGTATGAAGATCTCGCCAACAGCAAGGCTTGACTCTGCTGCAGACCGCTTATTGTCAGTTGATCCGAGATCTCGCAATATTGGAAGGTCACACATCAGTTCTCTAGTTTTTCTGTGATATATGTAATATTCTCGTTATGCCGCAATATTTGAATTTTCATATTAAAAGTTAAAACTTGCAATAAATTTTGGAAACGGATCGTTGGTGCAATCATCCATATCTGTCTATCCCTGTAAGTTAGGGTCCCAATGATTTTTATTAAGGCGACGAAAATGGAGCGAAATAATTTTGAACTGTTCGAAGACTTAAAGCAACACCCAGTGACCTCAGTTCAGGGTTGTTCAAAAGGTGGATAACGTCATCCAGCCTTCGAACAACTTGGGCCAGGGGCCCGTTTCTCAAAGGTCTGAGAAGTTTTCGCACTCGGCTGGAAAGCCATAGCAAAGTCTCAAACCCTATGGTTACAGCACTGTTTTATTCGCATATGCTTGATATGAACAGAGGCTCTCTTCATACGAGAAGTTTCAGGCATATACACCTCTCAGTTTTTAGGTACAGATTATCTAAAAATGGCTTTGCAGGCCCAAAAAACTTTCCAGGGCTTTCAAGAAACTTTAATAAACAACTGCGAGGGAACTGGGATGGAGGTAATTCGGAATGGAAACAAACAACACTTGGATTCGTGAGCGTGCACGTGTGTTCAGATTGAAAAACTCTCACAAATTGTTTGTGACTGTTTACTTAAGCAGCGTAAGTACACAGAACTGGAGATGTTTTTGTTTTGTTTGTGGAACAAACTGAGCTCATTGTCTTCATAATGCAGTTCAGTGTATTCTAATTCTCTGCATATGAAACTGGGCCTGAGCTGAACATGAGCAAGCGAAGCTGCTTGAAAGCCTTTCGCAAACTTTAGGTGAGTAAGATTTTAGTAACATATTTCTCGTAGATACCAGTAAAATGTTATCCCCTTAACTGGTGATCGATGACTGCAAACAGGCACGTATTTACAAACAACTTATTGGCACGCATTTACAAATATATCACTTGTAAGTTACACAACAGTTTGTTCGTATCAGTTGCTGAAAGAAAATTGCGTGAACGCTGCGGAACTGCCGTTCAATGCGTTGCAAAATTTTGTGTACTGCCTAGCGAACTAACATCACGAATTTTCTTTAGCTTAATGAAACTTCAAAGTAAAATCGCCCTTTGTTCATGCGAATTATTGCTCGATACGCCATGAAATTTCACTTGCACTTTCGTGTGAACTTTCGTCAAAAAGTCGTAGGAACAAAGAACGAAATTCGCGCATTTCGCTTGCGTTACTTTTGCACAATACTGTAGTTAGTGTCGGTGTCAACTATATGTTAGGTGAAAGATACATTTCATATGGGATCATACACACAAGTAGAGTGCTGTTCCTTGTAAGACACATGCGTTCTAGCATTGGTAGTGTGATAAACTCCATTCTTGAGTTAAGATCTGCTTTTTTGGGGATGGTACCACACTCTCGTTATGACCAGGAATAGCAGCTATATTTCAGGTTACGTCGTTTATCCCTTTCTTAGTGCAAAGAAAGCTACTGTGACTGTGTATCTTCTGGAAGCACCCCTAGCTTGATTCAAGAAATTTTGTCTGCTGTTTTATAACTATTGTGTGTTTGCCAGGGTTCAAATAAAGAATGGAATCATATTGCTTCTCCTTAACTAGTTTATTTCCTCTTCTATAAGGTGAGCAAAAAGTTCATATTCAGCCAAAACTTTCCCAAGTTAGATACATGTAGAACTAGTAAATTTGTGACAGAAGAGACTTCGCAATTATTGATAGCATTGTGTATTAGTTTGATGTAAACAAGAATGCACTGTTCAGTGACTCAACGTGACTATTGGATAATTAGATTAGTTCTTGTTTATCAGTGAAATGAAAATTTGCGTTTTGAATGAAATGACATCGTTCCCTTTCGAATTTTCATAAGATTTTTAACTGTATTCCATTCATTTCCAACAGTGAGTAAAAAAAATGTACATCTATTCTTATATTTTCAAGGTAACAAGGGTATCATGGTTCATACCTTGGCAAGGAAAACAAAATTGTCAAGTTACAAACGCTTGCGTGGGAAGTAAAATTGTCACATATTCTACTTCTATGTATTATTGAATTTAAAATGAACAAAACTCAAAGTAAAACACTACGATAAAATTCAAAACTGTCTTGACAAACGGTAATTGTAAGTTATTATTGGGCCTTGAATGAAAATATGCACATGAAACATACACATTGCCAAGATTATGCCTTATCACATTTTTGTCCCCTCATATTCTGCAAAGAGGAAAAGGCCTAGTTGACTACCAAGAGAGAGAATGGCAGGAGTGGGGCTGTGTGACTACTGTATCAGAGCCATAAGTTGCACTATCTGAGATTGTCTCACTAGTTGATTAAGCTGCCTGTGAAAGGCACATTGTAAAAATGCACTCGCCCATCAAAAAGTGCAGTTAAAGTACGAGAAACCACCAATACACTGCTGCCCTTCCTTCACCCCAATCTTTCCAACCTCTACCACCTCCCCACCAATTTACATTTCTGTCACATGCGACAAGGCTTGGTCCTTTCACCCTGCGTTTTTCTAAAACTGCTGTGGTTTCCTGTCAGGAAAAACTCACTAAGGTTAGGAATAATTCCTAACCATTAAGTACATTTGATTGTTGCATCCTTGTTAATACTGCTGTTTTCTAAAAGTGAATTTTAATGTGTAATTTGGCGATCAACTTCAGCTTATCGTAACCATCTAAATGCAAAGTGGGTCAAATTTTAAAAAATTATACTGCAGCTGTTATTATATTGCAGGTAGATGCCTCTAAATTCAAAAGCCTAGCTTCTTCTACCTGGGGATATGCTAGCAAAGCAAACAAAAGCAAACATGTATTCCGACAAGTGAAAGTCAAATTAAGAGCTGCCGTGTGTTGATTTCTGACTGACGTGGAAGGTCATATTACTCAAGTGACCTGTGTTTTGAAAATATTCTCACAGTTCGCCATTGTATTTACCCTATTTTTTTTTTTTTTGCCCAATGTGTAGTTGAAATGACTGATCTTCCCTGGAGTGTAGTCTTGTTGGGTCAAGCCATGTACCAGAGTGCTTCTTTGAGCCTTGAATTTCAGAGGTGGCGACACCCATTTACTTGTGTTTGTATGACCCTCGTAATTGAACTGTAAATTACGTGTAAAAAGCCTTTTCTTACACATGTCTTACTATACAGCTTTTCAATTGTCCAAGCTGAATTTTTTATGCTGTAAAACAATATCAGGGCTTTGCACAAATGTACTTTTCATTTAAAATTTCTGTGTACCAATGTACGAAAATTGCCTTCAAAAACGCCCTATTTTAAGGTTTTTTCAAAGTGCAAAAACTAGCAATCTTCAGGCGCTTCTAACCCAAAGTGAAAATGGACTTCTTGGCAATATTTTTATACCTTTGTGTTGTAATTCTGATACCAAACATACATGTAAAAGATAATTTGAATAGACTGAGCTGTCTTTTTTGAGAATGATGTGAATATGCCCAAGTTTTTGGCTGAATTTAATGGTGGCCGCAGCGCAGAAATCGCAGTTCTACTTTTTGTTGGATTTCTCAAAATCAAAAACACTCTGGCGAGTTTTAGTCCTATTTTCGAAAATACCAAAGGGTTTCTCTTGGCAAATATGAAGAAATCTGTGATTTCAGTTTTGGAGGTCAATTCTCGATATTTAGAGTACCCTCATGTTAAGTCTTGTTAATGGAAGAGGATTTTAAAGCTTAAGTGTGACCCGACTTCTGATGGGGTAAGAAAAGAGCATTGTTACTTGATGTGAAGTCTCCTGATATTTCACAGTCATAGGGATTTGATTTGTTTACAAGAATGTATCTTTCTGTAGGGACTTCTCTTATTATAAGTTCATCAATTATGGAACAAGTAAATCCATGAAGCAGAGTTAAAGTAGAGAGAATAACCTTTCAAGTTCAAATAAATTTCAACATTCTTTGAATTAAAATCATCTTCTTTTTGATACTGCAATATATTATACTGTAGTCTGTGTGAAAGAATGATAGCAGGTGGAAAATGTTGCAAAGTGGGCCTATTTGTGTTGAAACCAGTAGATCCACTTTATCCAGAAATCTCCACTATACCTTTTGTTCACTGAAAGCAATGAATGAGATATATAACATTGCATGGCCAAAGCTTCTAGAAACAGCATGGTCTTCAATAAGGTGTGCTTCCAAAACAAGACTATTTAGTGCCCCAACATTTTTGTATTTCTGACTTGGGTTGGTTGTTATCTAACTGTGGCAAAAGTTTAAAATAAGATAAATCACAACATATAAAATTTTAAATAGCTAAGAAAACACAGATATAGTGTTTAAAGAAGCTGTGGCCATGTAAAAATAGGGCACACTTACAGCATTAATGCTACAGGAAGACTTGTATGGCAAACAGTGCACTTAAAATCACTATGCCTAAAGTGACGGAGTAATGGATGGCTTCATTTGCAGGCTATGTAAATTTACTGCAGAATGTACATAAGGTGTGACAGGAACTTACTGAGTGTCTATCTTTTCAGGATTAAATTTTGGTCCTGTAGTCGCTGGAGTCATTGGTGCCCACAAACCTCAGTATGATATCTGGGGTGATACAGTTAATGTCGCCAGCCGTATGTACAGCACTGGAAAGGCCAAGCACATACAGGTCTGGCACTTGTGGATTTATTTTGTTTTACACTTACAGTGACCTGAGGAATATCTAATCTAATGTAGAGATTTAGGCCAGCCTAAAAGCGTAGCTCCTGGGCCGGGTTGTTCAGAGCCCGATTAAGCTAACCCAGGAAAAGGTAGAATTTTGATTTGAG